ACCCACTTTTATCACACATCCCATGCCCATTGTAAAAGTGCATGGAGTATAAGCAAAGACAAATTGATGAGAACATAAGTAGGTCATGCACAAGCAGTAAACCGAATGAGATGATCTCGAGTATTTGTTGGGCAAAACCTATTACTTGAGGTACTTGAGGCAGGAGCGACCTAAATGCAAGTCAAGCGCCGTCTAAGCGCCAACAGCAATCACGTTTATGACTTTCTGTGTTCCGTTCCTCCAGGCTTTTTCATGGTGCTAACACAATCCATTTTACAGGCCTATTTCTAAATGCTCCAATCAGTTAGATAGCTGTAATAGTCGAAAGTAGAATGAGACATCTAAATTACATCCACTGATGCATCGCAACTGGTTTTGACGGTAGAAACTTTATCTGTAAATGAACGGAAATGCAAGCCTAGGGTAGCACTTAAAAGGGCTTTATTTACATCCATGTCTGACACTTTAAACAATGCTGGCATGAACAAAGTTTTTCAGCTAAGCTTGGGAATTTGAGCACCTGTTTCAGGCCATATTTAACATCTCAGCAGCTGCTTAATGTAAGTGCCATTCAATTTCACTAGTTACTAATGGCCCATTTTGCTTAGTAGAAGTATTTTTAGAAGCACCTAAACATAAAAACGAAGTTTCTGCAAGTAAAAACACTTTTTCAGAAGAACATCTATGGTTCAGACCTGGGTAACCAGACTGTGCAGAACCGCCCCAATTGTTGGGAGCACTTTGATGTCAGCTATTTACTTCGAACACTAGTGTATCGTTTATTGGAGAAATTTTAAGCTGATCTAAGACCTTCGAAATTGGAATTCCTCTGTGCAATTGCACATAAAAGTGGCAGAATATTAAACTATTTACGACAATAACTGGTTTATGCATCAGTAGGATGTCATATTGTACTAAAATAAGCGAAAAATGTTTCTTGTATTATTTGACATTCAGATTATAAGCAGATTGTAGCTTAACCAGTAAGTGGTAAAACTAGGTGCATTGTTTGTGAAATCAGAATATGAACTACTGGAGAAGTGTCCCCTATTCAAGCAGAAGCTCACTAGAGGAATTGTTCATCTGAATAAATGGTGCATTAAAACTGTGCCGGTAATTTTTAGGTCAGAAGGGATCAAACACTTTGCTTTTTAGTAGTCGCTAATATAAGCTTCGAATTACTAGTTTAAAAAAAGAATCCCTTGCCTTTTTCCACAATTAGTAGAATCTGAACCCCTAAATCCGTCTAAACTTGGTATACACTGCACTATCATTCTATTGATATAAAGCACGAAAACGAAGTTGCCTAGGAAT